GCTCAAAAGAACGTCGTCACAGACTAGGAGGACAATGGACAATGGACATATGCTGGTACATACTTGATTAAGGTCGGAGATCTTGTCGAGGTGTGGAGAGATGCCGCCGTGGACGGCGAAGAACTTGCCGTCGATGAGCGCTGCGAGCGGGAGCGCGTCAAAAGAGCGCACGCATGCTTCATAAATCCGCTCCGAGTATTTGTGCAAGCCTGAGTAGCGATGTTAAGCTCAATCTGTGCGTCAACGAAGGAGCAGGGTTCGATGTACGCACTTTCGCGACGAAAGGTAAAGAATCCTGTTAGATGTCTACATTCGTGGTTTCCCCGGAGGAGGGCGAGCGCGCTTGGATACCAGAGTTTGAGGGTATAGAGGTAGAGAAGGCACTAGCCAGCGCGAGTCAGATAAACTTCTGCAATCAAATAGTTGCGCTCATCTTGGATACATACTTCAATACCAAAGGATCCTCGATCAACATAGTCGCCGAGAAAAAGGTAGTTTGTCTCCGTAAACTTGCCACCAATCTCAAAGGCCTTCATGAGATCATACTGCGTGGCACATCAATGTCTACGTCTCACATTTCCTGCTCAAAAGAGGCTTACAAACTGACCGTGGATGTCTCCACACACTGCAGTTCGTCAGCTCGCGTGCGTGCAATGACCGTTGGCGCGTGAACACACCAGTGACAGGTCCGGTTAGGTTGAGCATGTTAGGCTCGCGGCTCATGAGTTCCGTGACAGCCTCTAAAATGAAAACTGTCTGCTCTTCTGTGAGGCGGCCTTCATTGAAGAGGTGATCTTTGAGGAGTTCTGGGTTCGGCTTCATACGCCCGTCGGTCGGATCCTGCATGTAGAAGTCCTCATCGCGAGGCTTATGCGAATATGGCTCTTTGACCTTATTCGCATATCCACATCAGTGCATAGAATCGAAGTAGGAGATAGAGGACGCACCCATGGAGCCTTTCTCTCGCGGATACGCTCTGGGGTGTTGGCGCGGTGCTGCCTGGGCTCAGTCACCTGTGGCTCGCTGATCTGGTATAGTTGCGGCGGCGGTCGTCCGAGTCGCTCATCCTGGGGGTAGTAGTATGACATGCACCGTCGGGGTATTCACTGGCGGGGTATCTGAGAGTGTCGAGGAAGGAAAGAAAGATGGGCAACCTACGCGCTTGTGGACTTCTCCGCAATCGAGTCCGCCACACCGACTACCTGATTGACGCCAGCGCATTCCCGCCTCCGATCAGATCGATACAGCTCGTCCGGGTCCGTCACGGTTGTGGCCGCTCGCAAACGTGAACGTCGATCTCAGTCGTACTGACGGAGGTGCGTGATCAGCTTCTCCAAAACATTGTCATAAGGATAATGCTCTGACATTATGCCATGGAATAGCAACAGAAGAACATGCCAGGCTTGGAGCCTACGACAGCTATCGTGACAGAATACCAATATTACGCTGAGCTGCGGCGCCCATAATCGTCGCTGCCAAGCGTTGGTACGCCCCGCCGCGTATTGGGTGCGTTCGCTGCCTTTACAATGTTATGTTCGAGATTCGCAGGATACTGTGCTATTCTGGAGCTCTCAAATATGATACTGGAGAGGCCCTCAGGCAACGGACGTTTATGTTCTATGCAAACTATCTTTGCACACTGTGCCTGGCAATATTGCGGCCACCAACACAGACGAAAAACTTGACTTCCTCAATGCTGTTAACGAATACGCCGCTGTGCAATCCTTTGTGGAATATGCGACGCAGACGAGCGAAGTCTGAAACTGAAATAAAATAAAATAATGGTTTATGTGTATGAGTGGTAATCGGTGACGAAGTACGATCGACGGCTCAACATAGATGTTTCCATTATGTGCACCGTTTTCAATTCCGCCACATCTCGTGCCTCAGTCCCTGCCCCGGGCCTTGGGAATACAACTTCCATTCTTGTCGCCATTGTTTCTGTCGTCCGAGCTCGGCTGTTCTTCGCCGTCATCATCGCCATAATCACACTCTGGTGGATCTCGGACAAAGTTAAGGGTGTCCTCTGCAACGATCATGAGCTCGAAGTACTAGTTCGGGTCATGGCGAGCATGGGCGGCCGCATGCGCGTCGTTGTTTTCCTCGGACTCGTTCTGATATCCATGGACCCCTTCTCGTCCAAGTACGAGAACTCTCTGACTGTAGGTCTTCTCCCCCCTCATTGTCACCCTCGTCACCGTCTTCATCGTCCTCCTATCATCGTCCTCTGTGGCGTCTTAGCGCGCGCGGCCACACAGATGCCACAGCTCAGTTGTGCAGATTCGTTCTCGGTTTGTCCACCCTGATAAACTGCGGCCGCTGATCGTATAATCATTACCACGCTTCTTTGCCATGCCAACGTCCTATTTCCTACGAGGGCTTTCTTCTCACTTAGTACATAGTGCCCATCTCGCTCACTGATGCGCGCCTTCGCTCGATTTGCCCGCCCCACCCGCGCGTGTGAGGTGTGATTTTCTTGGGTCATTTGCCCATGTAGCATGCTCTGCGATGCGAGGGCAGCTTCTGGGGCAGGTTGTGCAGCAGCGTGCCCGTTCACAGTATTCAAAATGCAGACAGGTAATCAAAGTACAGTGCTTAACAAGTACATTTGCGAATATATGCGCCATCCCCAACATCGAGCACCAACTCTCACACCTCATGCCTCGACGCTCCGTACGCCTGTCAATGTGATCTCCACTTCCGCCCCCATCGTCGCTATCCTCAGGGCTCAATTACGCTTCGTCCTCGTCATTACCGTGCTCGCTTGCCGGGGGGCCTTGCGCAAAGTTAGAATTGCCGCCAGCCTCCTCCACGCCTTCTTGTACTCTATCTTCTTCATCTAAGTACGAGAGAGAGCTCGATCTGCGGCCGTCTTCGCCGTAATCTTCCTCATTACTGCCACCCTCTTCGACAACTGCATTGTCGGCGTGGTCAGGCTCAGGCTCGCGGGTCCTATGAGGGTGTCAGTCCGACTCAGAACAAGCCGAGCTGCAGCAGTTATATGGACGCACCTTGCTTCCATGTCACGATAGAACTCCGCACCGATTGCGGCAAATGCCGCCTTGGTCTGCTCATAGTCGCTCATAACGTCCAAGTAGTCTTTGCCCTCGAAGAAGGGGCTAATAAAATCAGGAATGTGCTCGTGCTTGCGGGCGCCATATATGGCTTCCTTGGCGACGTTCTGACGTCGTCCGTCTCCAATGAATGGGTCTGAGTTATCTGTGCTGGCGTGATCCGAAGCAGTGGCGGGATCGTATGTCGGATCGAGCTTCTCCTCGTGACGTACGGGGGCGAAGGCTTCGCCGCGGTGATACTCGAAGTACCTCCACTTGTACCCGAGGGCATGGATCACGCCAAGGACTTGGGTGGTCTTGGAAGCGTCGAAGACGTGTCTCGCCTGCTCGAACGTCTGCTCGGAAATGGACCCCTCCCAGATCTCTAGCTCATGTTCAGCAACCTGCCGCTTGATTTCCACGATGAGAAGTATCACTCCGTCTCGACTGCACATGTATTTGCCGTCCTCGTCCTGGTAGACGACATGCCACTTCTGAATGAAGTCCGGGACCACTGACGATCGAGGGCGCTTGGCCGTAGTTAGCGGGATGGGAATCATCAAGGGCCTTACAGGTGAGCCTAGGAGAAGGGCAGCAGCGTCCACAATGTCGGCTCGTGTGATCGGGGATCCTTCGTCGTCGTTCTGCCCTGAGATCGCGCCGGTGGCAGGTGTGAGTGGCAGCGCCACAATTCCAGAGCGGTGGCTGGGAGGCGACGGGGCGAGGGAACGCTTGCCACGCCGATCTGGAGTTTCGAAACCGCCTTCTGCGTCGAGCAAGGTGCGAATGTCCACCTCTCCAAAGTCGTACGCGAGATCGACAGTAAACTGAGGGTAAGTGTTGACTATGATATCGTCTGCCTCGGCGGGGGGAGAGAGATAATTTCGTAGAAGTGGATCATATACACCGTACATCGGGGCTTCTAGCCTCTCGTGCTTATTGAGAGTTGCATATGCCAACTCACGGTTCTCTCGCTGGAAACCGTTCGGGAGCTCGACTATATCGTTGGCCGCCATCTGAGGCGTGGATGTTTGGGGACGATGTTGAAAATAGAGCTGCTCTGACTTGTTGCTGAAGTCTAGATGTAACCTGGTCCGTGCACTGATGAGATACAATGGGACCATGCAGTACTATTCTCACGAGTCACAACTACTAAGGATTTGCCCGACTAGGCGAGTTCAACTCCTCATTTGCACCTGTTTACGGCATTTACGTAATCAAGCTCGAGAGCTGAAAGCTGAGCGCCCGAACCGACTTGCCAGCCGCCACAACGAGCATCCTGTTCAAGCATTAGAGATATGTCATCTTCCGATGATTCCACCGCCCTAACGTGCGATCAACGCAAAGTATCCTTTGCCTCACCTTCGATGTCGCTCATACAACCAAGGTCGGTCGACGCCTCTAAGCTTAAGAAGCCTCGCGCCAAGCCTAGACCCATGGTCAAGCGTGGATCTCTTGAGGCTAAGCTCGGCGCGTCAGCATATCTTGCGGGTTTACTGGTTCGTGTCGCGACCAGATCCACTTCAATCGACATGCTCATACATCCTTGTAGAACAAAGAAATGGAGAGAGGAAATGCTCAGAGGATGCAGGACAGCTTGGAGCCCCTTGTGGAGCTCACCATTCCCAAGGACTTCGTGTACACCCCGCGCATTTATGCGATTGAGCTCGACAACGAAGTCGAGGAGGTCCTGATGCAGTGGACACGCCAGGTCTGTCGCATCCCCGACGAAGACAAGCCGCGCAAAGGGATCGTACTCTCTTGTGCTCTCGCCGCTCTGCGCGATGTGACGGGGATCAGTCGCTTGAAGTTCGAGTTTGCCCTGCGGGAGCGTCCTATCCCAGAAGGCCAACATGACAGCTTCCCAATTCTTGCTATTTTCTATGCCTACGAATACGGGACGATGCACTGGCGTCCGACGCAGAAGCAAGTCGGCAAGCTGTCCGAAATCTTGTCGGGTCGTCAGCCGAAGTGGTATATCGACAAGTACCCTTTCGATTCGTGAGTAATATAACGCTCGTCCTGTGCAGACTCTGACTATGTCTCAGGTGAGTATTGTGAAGTCGCCTATGTCTGTTGTACCGTGAAACGCAATGTTGTTTATATGCATGTATGATATTAGTCTTAATGATAAGCTTGCTATATCAACACACACGATGTTTCCAGTTTTAGGGGCTGTTTTTACCAACGATGGTTGGCCTATTTGCGCCTCTGCATGAGTGGCTGGAATACAAGAGCGGGGTGCAATATGCCTGGTGGCGCCCTCAGAATTTGCGCCCACTGACGGTGAGCGCCCGAGCCAGGCTTGCCAACTGTCAGAACAGACCGCTCAGCAGCTGTTCGGGCTAGCTGAGCGTAGAGAGTATGCCGACCTCTACAGAACCTGCCGCTGCGGCGAGCACAACACGCAAAGTAACCTTTAACCTGCCTGCGACGCCGTCTGCTGAGCTCAAACCCACCAAGCCTAACAAGTCGCGATCGAAGGGCAGATGCAAGCCTCTACTCAAGCGCGGCTCCGCTGAGGCGAAGCTTGCAATATCCCCCTATTACGCCGATTCGCTGACACGCGTCGCAGCTATGTGCAAGCTGCTCAGTATGCATGCTGAACGTCATCTTCTAGAACCTAGAAATCGAGAGAGAACAAGCACGAAAGAGGCAGACAGGCTTGGAGCCACTTATGGAGCTTGTCATTCCTGGTGACTTGGTATGCACTCCACGCATTTACGCGATCGAAATTGACCAAGAGAGCGAGGCCTTCCCAGTGTTCGTTATGTTCTACGCACGCGACTATTCAACAATGCACAGGCAAGCGACGCAGAAGCATGTCGATAGACTCAGCGAGATCTTGCCAGGCCGGCAACCCCAGATCGACGGTCCTTGACTTGTGAGCAGCAGTAATATATTCCCTTCGCCTTGTCGATATTGATTATAGCTTTTCTAGACCAGCTGCCATAATTGCTATCGCGCCGGATCGAAACAAGTGGTATTTGCGCCTGCACTATCACCCGAGAAATAGAGGTTCAATATCCTCTGGTGTATATTTGTCATGATCATGAATAGTAGTAGTACTAGTATTTCTTTGATTGATATTCTAAGTATCCGTCGTAGCCGGGAAAACAGAAAACACAGGCTATGGCGTTTGATACCCGCGGGTACAACGATACCTGACGTACCTAAGACACACAGGGCGGTAAGCGCAGTTTTTTTCTCGAGAAAACTCAGGCAAAAGCGGCTAAACAAGGCCCAGTTATTCCTCTATTCTACGCCGATGCAAACTGAGGAGAAGCTGGTGTAAAACCGGCCAAAAGGCTCTAGTACACAGTGAAACTGGCGGAAAAGTCACGGGGTAGTTTAATTTGTTTGCTGATAACTTGCATGGGAGACGAGTGTGCCGATGAGAAGGGATAGTTGCGCGCTCAGACTCGAGGGTAGAGAGTAGAGTTCAAATCACTCTTACTCCTTGATATAAGTCCATCAATAGGCCCATGCACAGTTCTCACGAGCTACAACCAACAAGCAATTTGCCTGATTAGGCTGACTCTGCTCCTAACTTAATTTGTGACTGTTTACTGTACTTACGTAAGCGAATTTCGCGGATATATCAAGCGCCCGAACTGGGCTTTCGAGCCGCCACAGTCACTGCCTTACAAAACATGTCGTCCTCTTCCGAATCTCTGCCCGCAACGCAAGAGCAATGCAAGGTATCCTTTTCTCCGCCGTCTTGTTCAATTATCCAGCAGCAATCAGCCTGTGTCTCTAAGCCGCAGAAGAAGTCCAAGGGCAAATTCAAACGCTCAAGAAAGTCCTCTCTTGAGGCGAAACTTGGTGCATCGACCTACCTTGCTGGAATTTTAGTGCGTAGTAAGACCAGACATATATATGTCAGATTCATGACACACTTCGCAGAACGAGAATATTGAGCGGGACCGCGAGCGGAGGAGAAAGGCAGACTTGGAGCCCCTTGTAGAGCTCCAAATTCCTGACGACTTTGTATACACCCTGCGCACGTATGCATTCGAGCTCGACAGCAAGGTTGAAGAGGTGCTTAAGCAGTGGATGCGCAAAGTTTGCCACATTCCCGATGAAGATGACCTGCACTACTTGACTATCTTAGTATGCGCCCTCGTGGTGTTATGGAGTGTGACGGGCATCTGACATCTAAATCTTGAATTTTCAGCCCGAGAGGGTCCTATCCCAGAGGGTTTACACAAGAGCTTCCCAGTTATCACTGTCTTCTATGCCTACAAATACAAGACGATGCACAAGCGTCCGATGCAGAAACAAGTTGACAAGCTTAGCGAAATTTTATTGAATCGCCAACCAAAGTGGTACATTGATTGCCATCCTTTTGATTGATGCGTGAGTAGCACGATAGTTGCATTTTCTTCGATGTTGACTGTGCTCCCTAGATGAATATCATAACGGAAGACGTATTGACTGTGCCTCGTACACTGTAATACGATTATGTTGCTTCTGTTGTTGTACAATACTATACTTCTCAAGCTCTCTAGCAAGTCTGAGGTGTCAGAACTCTGATGAGCGGCCTGCTAAGCATAGATCAGTACATAGCACACCCGGCTCATGAATTCACAACGATTACAGCCCTGAAACATTAAAATGCATGAGTTGCTCGAGGCCCCGACTGGCGCGCTTGCCGCTCACTACAAGATGGCACAATCGAGATGTGCAACTCGTTTATGGTCCACTCTCAAGGACATCCTGACGTTTCACATTTGCTTCTTGGCTAGAGACCGATCAGTACCTCCTGCACTACAGCTTGGTGAGAACAATATCTTTGACATGGCTAATTGTCACTCAGGGCTGTAGCCAAGCTCACCAACATCGGTCCAACGGATCACAGCCAAGACCGATTTGAGCAGCGGCAAGTCTATGCAAGACGAGGAATAGGCGATCCTGAGCTGCCAGACAAAGTTCGACAATATTATCCTGATAAGGCTAATCTTGTTGCTCATTTGTACATGTTGTTTACTGTAAGCACTCATGATCCAGGTCACTCTAGTACATTTGTAGGTCTACCTCCTAAGTAGCATACTTTATACAAATAAAATGTAGAGGAAAGAATGAAAAATGGACTTTGCTGTGATCTTGTGATGTTGTTTAATTTTCACAGCGTGCAAACAAGGCCACAGAAATAGTTTCCCCTTGCAACTGCAGAACACCCGTCCGACCACGAAGTGGGTCACTGGGCATCTATTAGGCGCCGTACCATGTGAGGCTACTCGCAACAACATACCGTGCATCGAATACAGACTTCCTGAGTACGCACACTTGTGAAAACAGACGAGGCACTTCATAGATGATGTGAGAACACATAATACTACATTATATCAGTCAACTAAGCCGCTGCAATCGAGTTTTGTGGGGTTACATGTCAGCCAGAGTCTCCACCGCCATTAGTGGTTGAGGGTCCGGTCCAGTCCAGTTTTTTTAAAAATTGGGTGGGACCAGGACTCAGACTGGTCAATGACCAGCATCTGTTTGTGCAGGACCGGACCAAGACTGGGTCCTGGTCCTGTACAGTCCTCCGTGCAGTCCTGGACCGGTCATAACCAGTCTAGGACCAAATGTGGTCTTAGACCAATTCAGACCAGCTCAGACCAGTCCTGCCCTGATAAACATGGCACAAATGAACAAATTTTGATTTTGAACTGCATGTACAGGTAGACTAGCAGTATACTAAGCTAATTTCTGGACAAATCAGTTTTGAGACCACACTACTCAGCCTAATGAGTCAAAGAGGAGACAGTGTGTGAGTCTCAAGAAGGCCAGAAGAGTGTACCAGATGCCTATCTCAGAAGTGCTATATACCATTCATGCATTGCCAGACTGTCTTTATATACTGTAAGGCATCACAGAAATACTGTTGCGTAGAGTCTGATATTGAGGGAGTGTTTGACATGGCTGAATATTTGATGAACTCAAAGGCAGGAGCTCAAAAAAATAGCCACAGCTGTGGTCTGTGCTGTTAAGGTTCAAGAGAGGTATTTGGCAGGTAGACAGCTACTTCACGTTATGTCATACATATGAATGAAAGGCAATATTGTATATGGGCAAATATAGGTAAACAATGTGCGCACAAGGCACCGGTGAACACTGTACACTTAAAAATCAAAACAAATATTCAGCTAGTGATATGCAGGCACAGCTTGAGCTTAAAGCCCAGGATTGGGCCCATGGCAATGTTGGGCTGAGTCCTGACCCCAAGCCTGAGCCTGAGCCTGAGCCCGGCCCAAGTTGCCAAGCTTAGGATAAGTTCACACTAGCAGAGACCGCCCACTGACTCAAGCCTGGCCTTGAGCCCACTGCCAGGCCAGGCTCAGGTCAGGCTTTTTTGGGCTGGGCTTGCAAGCTTTGAGCCAAGGCTGCACATTACTATATTCAGCAAAGAAAACAATGCTCTGCTCACACGGCTGGATTCTAAATAGAGAAGAAGGGTATCATGCACCACTTTCATCATTCTCAGCATTTCTGTATAAAACCTCCATATCCTTGAGAGCCTTGTTATCCCTACGCTCAGGCTCCATCTTCCCATGGTCATGGCTTTAGCTGATTATGTGCAGTAACCGCATCCAAACTTGAATAAATCATAAAAAGAGTTTTAAAAAATGTATTAATCTGTGCTTAAGCTGGCTGTGTACTTGGACAAGCCTACAAGGGCATGGTTGCAGTTCAGAAATTACTAAGATATACATGTACCAGTAGCCAAGCTGCTTTCTGGGTGCTGCATTTTTGTTACTTTATATTGGTCTGTGACTGGTTCTGACCAGTCATGACCAGTCCTAAAAGCAACCAGCGCCATCTAGGACCAAGGACTGTGACCAAGACTGGACTGACGTAGGACTGGACCATACCCAGTCCTGATCAGTCCAGTCTCAGTCCAAGTCCCGGTCCCGACCGGTCCTTAGGACCAGACCCTCAACCACTAACCGCCATGTAATGTTTGCTCCTCCGTAATTCAGCTGGCTGCTCTTCAGTTGAAGTAGGAAGGAAAAGCTCCTTTGGCTTGCTGTTCATGGACTTCGTCTTCTTGACTACTTGCATGGCAGCTTTGGTGGCCACCAACTCTGAAGTAGCTGGCTCAGAAGGCCCTGGGAGTAATGTTACTCACTAAGAGTGTACATGTCTAAAGCCATCAACTGCACTATTGTGCTCTTCTACGCCTAGGACAAGTCTTAATAGCTCCCCTGATGGCTTCTGCCCATTCTGCAGTGCTGTGGCAAATGGGATGAGGTGCAGAGAAGGCAGGTGGTATGGATCTACTGTATGAGACCTGACTAGCATAGAGAACAAATTATGCATGCTAAGAAAATCTTAAAATTTGCCAAATGTTGAAGAACAAAGGACCATACTATCAGAAAAATATATCCAAAGTTTCATGAACTTTGGTTTATCCACTGCTTCAGTATGCCAAGTTCAAGTCAGCAGGTGGCCGGAGAGCCAGGTGGCTCGGCCATGGCAATCCATGTATTCCAGCTGGTTCAGGTGTCCGGCAAAAACAGCTAAACCACCTGGAAGCTATGTATCACTATGTTGAGAGCCCATCTGCACAGGTCAAAAAGGAGCTGAATTGTGATGGACACTGAGAGAGCTTTGGGTGCGGTGTATGGGGTATTGCAGCATTTCAAAACAGGTAAATCCATGATAAGAGTGAGCAAATTGACCTTTTTCTTCACCACAACTTTATGAAATTTGCTCAAATTGGACATGTACTATGGTACTATGCATACAAATGTAAACTTTTTATTTTTGTCGTGCTACAGTAAGCTTATCGTACACTTGAGCCTCAAGAGTATTCGCTGACCCGTTTCCTGGTCCGGCCCAGTTCCTGATATGATACAGTACCGCTTGTTTATAGCGGGCCCGAGGGAGCGAATAGTGTTGCCACGGCTTGGCGCGGCTTGGCTGTGACTTGACTTTAGACAGCTTTTCCTTTTTGGGATCAGCCGAGTCAAGTCAAGCCACAGTGCAGCCGCGACTATAAGCGACTATGGCTGAGCAGCAGCTTGCAGCCGATTGTCCCTCCCAAAAAGGAAGGTAGTTCACACTGGTACTGTGGAATTCATCGTAACATTGCTTGTCCTACTTGAGTGATGCTAAATATGAACTGATCTCCTCTGGAGACTCTTCTGCATGGCTCTCCAAGTTCTTGAGCTTCTCTTCGATGTCCAAACCATGTGTGAAAGATAGAGAATGGCTTTGCTTGAACCTGAACTTGAGAATTTGCAGTGCTTCCATGAGTTCTCCACTGATTTTGTTGCGCCAGTCTGTGACTGTTATCTTTCCGGATGAGAAGACACGTTCACAGGGCATAGCAGAGGCTTGGATAGGCAGAATATCCATTGCAATGGCATAGATGATTGGAAACCTGGTTTGAGATGCCTAAAATGTGAAGATAAATTGATATTTCAAAAAAAAAAATGGAGAAAAATGGAGAGAAAAATTATGGCACAAGTTTCAGTAAGTGTACACTCACCTTTCAGTATGTGATAGCATCCACAAATCCATCTGTGGGCTCTGCAATCTATGCATACTGCTCTTACTCTACTGAACGCTCAGCCAATGGACCTTTTCCTTTACCCTTGAATAAAATGTTGTAGGCCTTTTGCTGCTGTGTTTGAATCACTGCAGCTGCCGGAGCCAAGGCTGAAGGGGCCATCTTGGATTTATACTTGCGCATCTGTAAAATGAATGTTAATATAGAGAGAAATGAAGATTAAAATATGAGTAAAAGCGCACCTCAGCTAAAAATAGATTCTTTGCTGCAGCCGCTTCTGCTAGTAAAGTGTTTTGCTCAAACCACTCCAGCTTATATGCAGGATTGATGACTAATAAACTTAGCTTCAGATTTCAGCAGCTTTAAAGCTGTGCTTACCAGTGGCCAAAGTATATGCATTACAGCTGCGGTTGCGATCACGATAGTCTTCAAGCTTGTCCAGACCTTGCTGAATAATTCCAGCTGCGTTGGATACTTTTGCCTGTTACTCCTGCCAGCGTAGCTTCATGGCTTCAAATGCAGGTAAAACACTAATAAGTGTTGGCATAGATTCTGAAGATAAAAGCTGCTGAAACGCATGTGGAACCTATTCATGTTTAATTTATTACTTGGATAAATAAAGAAAACTGAACTTACCTGAAAGATCTCATGGAATACTTCCAAAGCTTTCCACTCTTCATTGTTCATGCTATACTTGCGAAGTTCTGCAAACTCTGAACCATAGAGAAATTGTTCAATTGCCTATAAATAAATAAGCCTGAAAGTATACAGTATGCCAAAATGAATTGTTACCTCACGAAGTAGAATAGCCTGATCTATCATGAGATATGTTGATGATCACTGTGTCTCAAATGTCTTTGAAAAGCTGCAGAATGGCCATATTCATGTTGACTAAAATCTGCATAAAATGCTGGCAACGCAGTGCAGATGCACGAATTTATACATTGAGGTAAGGCAAATCACTATCTTGTATAGATTAAATTAAACTTACTACTCTAATGAGAGAACGTAAAGTTGCGATAGGGTCAAGTTTAACTGCGTCAAGAAAATTGCATGGCAAAAACTTTTCTGGCTCAAAATCTTGCGACATTTCCTTGACATACTCAAGTTCAGTTATAGCACTAAGAACACTTTGGCATGCTGAGTTAACAACATGTGGAAAGCAGCAACAGTTATTTTGAGCAATAAACTGCAATTGATTTATTGAAATATACACACCGAATGCAACGTTGAAGCTTGTCAAAAGCAATTCCACGCTTTTGCAAGGTTTGCTCAAGAACCTCCATGCAGGTGTCATTGTTTGTTGCATTGTCCATTGTAATCCAGCCAATCTATATATTTTTAAAGGATAGTAAGTGGTTTAATTATTTTAAGTTGTTAAAATGGCTGTACCTTGTTTGTGATCTTGATACGGTCCAGGATATAAAGGAATGCAGCCGCAAGATGCTCACCGGTGTGTCTGGAGAGGACACGGTGAAAGCCGATAAGATCTGCACGAAGTCGAAGCTGCAGCTGAAGTCCGTTACCACAATTTTCAAGAACAAGCTGCAGCCAGTGTGCAGTAACTGCCATGTATGGTGATAAGAATGGGTCAGTCCACATAGCCATTGTGAAGGATATGCTGCCAACTGCATTCTATAATTAGTAATTAGAGCAGAATTGTTTTGTAATTTTTTTGCCACTTACCTTCATATCCTGGCTAAGCTCCTTGAGATACTCTTCAAAAACCTCACCAACTCGTGTTCGGATAGTGGTCCACCCAGGAATATCTTTCTCATGCAGCTCAGAGTGAAGCAAAAGAAAGATATTGTGAAGCTGTGGATTTTCAATGACGCGTAAAGGCTGCAAATATTTATTCAGATTTAAAGCACAATAAAATGTAAATTTAAAGCACACCTGATTGTCAGCAACAATCCACTCAGTAATGTAATCCACAAATAGCTCCTTGGTGAACTGTGGCCGGCTGTTATCCACTTGTGCAATATCTGGTTGTCCACGTTGATGTTGCCTCCAGGCTTTGACTTGTGCCGTAGCACACTTCGCTGTGATTTTGACTTGCGCTTTATCGCACACCTCCACCCACTCGTCAAGATGAGCATCTCAGAAGTGCTTTTGAGGGTTGTATGTGCCTGCAGTAGTCCAGGTGGACACATGGTGATGAGGATTCTGTTCATGCATAAACCTGGCGAGTTTTTTTTAGAAATAAGTGCAAAGAAATAGCTGAAAGAAATTCATACAAGCAAAACTTGCATTTCTTGCATCCATTCTCATTTGTCTCAATGAAGGGCCAGACATCCTTAGCTTGCTTGCCTTGTCTGTTGCCTGCAGGCCCATGAGGCGATTTCTGATGCTGACTGGCAACAGGTGAATTGGGAGGGCCTGCTGGCTTGCGAGTTGGGGTGGCAGGAGCAGGCAGGAGATCACGTGAAGAGCCTGCAGCTGGTGTTGGACTAGTAGGCGAGTCTTCAGAGTCATCTGCAATATCAATGTTGATGTATTCATGACTATCAGCAACTGGAACAGATCTACAAAGATCCAAACATTAGAGCATAGCAATTTGCAGTATTGGTCACCACGCACTTGTTTATCGAGCTCTCCCCACTTGGATTGTGCTGGTGATTGGCACAACCTCTCCGGGGCGACGCAAATACCATGAGCACCTCTTCTTCAGCAACATCCTGAACCCCTGGACCTTTTCTACCACCTCTCTTCTTTGCTGGGGAACCTTGGACAGCATCCTCAGATGAGAATTCACCTACAGAATTCAAGATGTTATCAGCAGACAACATCAAACTGTACAAAAGCTCAAAAAAAGTGCACCAGACAGCCTAAACTGGGTCATAACAGCTCCATTGTCAAACTCAACATGCTTAGAGGCCACCTTTTGCCTCTTAGGTGTCTTCTGAAGGGCTCGGCAGCTCTCTTCTTTCCATATTTGCAAGGAGGCATAGTGGCAAGCAAAGTGACGCAGTGTTTGCCTTTTTGGGACAACTGGACCTGACTGCAAGCCACCGCCGAGTCGCGCCAAGCCGCAGCTAAGCCGCGTAACAGACAAGAGCCAATCAGCGACTTGGCTTGGCTGCCACATGGCTTGACTGCAACGACTAGCGGCTAAGCAGTCAAGCCGTGGCAACACTAGGAGCGAGCGCCCGAACACAACCTGCCAATATGTCCTCTCTCACCGAACCTCCTCCCACAAAGAAGGAACAGCGTAAAGTGACATTCGACCTTCCCCTAGCGTCGTCCGCGGAGGGGCAGGGCAAGCCCGACAAAGCATCCAAACCGAATAAGTCGAAAAAGCCCAGGTCGAAAGGCAAATCAAAATCCCTGATTAAGCCCGGCTCTCCCAAAGCCAAGCTTGGTGCATCCACGTACCTTGCAAATCTGCTGGTGTGTGTGTGTTTTTACATTCATGTCTAAACCCATTCACGAACCCACGTCGTCCCGAAGAACGAGGAAGCCGAGAGAGAGCAAGAGCGCAGACAGAAGGCAGGTCTGGAGCCTCTTGTAGCGATTGTTATTCCCAACGATTGGGTGTATACACCGCGCATATACGCGATTGAAGTCGACGAAGAGGTCGAAGAAGCACTGATACAGTGGACGCGGAAGGTCTGCCGCATCCCGGACAAAGATAACCTGCAGAACAGCACCATCTTCGGCTATGCCCTCAAGGCCCTACGCCGTGCTACAGGGATCCGGAGGCTCGAAGTCGAGTTCGCCGTGCGCGAAAGCCGTGACGTGTTCCCTGTGTTCGCCGTCTTCTATGCGTACCAGTATTCAACAATGCACGAGCGAGCAACACAGAAGCAGGTCGACAAACTCAGCGAGATCTTGCTGGGCCGGCAGCCGAGGTGGTTCGTCGATTTCCAGATAGACGGTCCTTGACCTGTGAGTATGAGCGGTGTATTACCTTCGTCTTTCAACGCTAACAACAGCTCTCCCAGACTACCAAATTCTCAGGAAGGATGGAAATGTGATCTGCACCCGCGCTGTAATCTGAGGAACGGGCTCTTCGTAACCCATAGGAGCGTATTTTACTCGCTCGTTTACAGTATACCTTTCATTAGCATTTGCGTTTGTGTCACGCTAGCCAGTGTTGTATTCTAGGTGTTCTCAACAAGTTCATATCAATATTTGCCATGTGAGGTTATGTGCACTGGTCGCTGTGGGTCGTTCGGGCACTGAGTGTGCTAAAAGTTAAGTGCCATAGTTTCCGCCACAATGTCAACCTTCGTCCAGGCGAGAGGCATCACACGACTTCCTTGTCACACCCAAGCGATGCCGTCCGATTTCGCATAGGGGTCTCCGTCTATATATATCATACCAGACAGCTTGTAGCATATAGGCGGCTTCTACTCACCCTAATGGCGCCATCTTTAACTTGTACAGCCGATAGTCGTGCGCCATAGGATATCACTGCAGCTCGGCATTGGCAAGACGAGTGAGCCTACGACGTGGACGAGTCGCTCCGCATTTCAGGTGACACATCACTCAGCGCGATTTCACTGGTGGGCATGCGCTCGTAGAGCCAGTGGATTAAATGGATGCGGTGCTTGTCGCCGATGATGCAACGGTGTGTTACAGTAAGAGGGCACGTCGTCAACGAGCCGCACATCGAGCCCAACGCACAGGTGAATTGAGTTATTTGAAGAGAATGAGTCTCAGTCCGAGGACAAATACAAACCTGCGGTCAAGTGCGACTCTCCTGACGCCACGCAACCTTGCAACTGGGGATGCTTTTCTACTCATGTGAATAACGAATAGTGTGCTTGACAATGATCTCGGAAAATGAGGAAGCCGAGGAGGGGTGGGCAAGTGCATACTAGAAGGCCGTGGAGCCGCTCATGCAACCCGTCATCCCGGCGACTTCGTATACACACCGTGTATCTGTGCGATTGAAAATTGACGAAGAGGTCCAGGGGCACTCATACTGAGGACGCACAAGGTCTGCCGCATCCTGGGCGAAGATAACCGCGCAAGAGCGCTATCTTCTCGAGGCCTTGCGCCGGAGTTGGAGACTTGAAGTCAAGTCTGCCGAGTCCCGCCAAGGGTACAGAAGATACAACCTTCCACACTTATTATAAGTACGCAATTATGCACAGGTGGCTGACCGAATTGAAAGCCGGTCGACAAGCTGAGCAAGACCTCACTGGACCGCCAGCCGAAATGGTACATCGACTACCAGATGGACATCTGACCCGTGGGCAACAGTAATGTGATAGCCCTACTTCAATGTCACTCTCCCCTAGATTGCCGACTTCGGCTCCGGTAGCGCATAATATTGGTCGAAAATCGATAATGTTCCGGTGCTGGCCCTTGCAGGGTGTTACAAGATCTGTTATAGCAAAAGTACTGTGAATGTCGCTTGTTAGCCTCTTGTAACAAGATATTAAGCGTACCAAGCTGTGGACAGACTATCATACACCCATCGGTTTGCTAAATTGTTGGAGTCGGCTCGATCGAGAAACGCTTGAGTACAACAGGCATGAGGAAATGGCGACACCTTGGGCTTTGCGTAAGTCTATCAACCTTGAGAGCGGGGATAGACGTCGTCAAAATACATGCATTTATAAAATCGTGTTTGGGTTGACCTCCAGGTTAGCGCAGAACGACGTCTCACGCGAGGCGGAAAGCAGCGTGTTGTGCAGCCACGAGCAAGCAAGTGGCGTCAAGAAGGTGGCGGATCCTGGCCGACAAAAAGGTAAGCTTGTAAATTCTGGCGTCATGTCTGCGGTATTTTCGTTGTTAAGTTTTGGGTGCCCTGTCCTTAAGCTGTCTCGGTTTGACAAGGCGCTCATATCAGTCTGCGTCATGGCGAGCACGGCATACCCTGTCAGACGCAGGCTACCCAGTCATACCGGACAGATGTCGTATGTGATAGTCGTAAGATGATCGTTTCTTGTTCGTTGGTCCAGGAAGGACAGTGGAGGATACAGAAAGAACAGTCAATACTCGCAGAAGCGTACATACCCATTGGCTACACCTTCACACGATGGCGTATAACCCAATCTCGCACCTCTATCACCTATAGCCCCTCTCTGTTATTCTGTACATCATCTCTTCTTCAATGCTAGCAACCCGCTCGATGCGAGAGACTGCGATAGGGAGAAAGAGCGGCGAGGTCTTAGGCGTGAGCGTACTTCTCGGTCCACTCGCGCGAGACACGCTGGGCATCGGCCTCGTTCTCCTTGTAGTGCTTCGCAACATCGGTCGCAAGCGGGTCGTCCGGGTTCGGCGCGCTGAGTAGGGCTTGTATCGAGAGTAGTACTGTCCGGATCTGCAACGCGGGGCTCCACTTGTCTATACGTCGCCCCGTATGAGCACGCGACCATAGACAAACATGCGAGACGAGGGAGTACCTTTGAGAATGTCTAGACAGATGCGACCGAGTTTGTCTGCTAGGACATGAGGGAGCGGGAAGGGAA